TCGATATTAAAAATTTAAACAATTTGAATTAAAACCATTAATTTATCTCTATTACACCTCTTATATTTCTACTATTAATTATGTTAATAATAATTGTATTTGCAGCATATATATTGTTTAAAGATATTTATATTTTAAATATAAGATATGGCAAACAACATCATATATCAATGATGAGGACATCTTTCATCTAAGTAGGAAAGAATTAAGTGATCGCTAAGTTACCATCAACTTGTCACGTATTCCTACGTGACCTAATCAAGTAACTTAATGATAAAAAGGAAATACCTTTCTTTGCCGTTGAAAATGCATAGTGTAGCGAGCGCGAGTGTGTTTGTGTGCGATCGGGCACACGTGTGTGTTAACGGCTTATCGATTCGCGGACTAGCCACGGGCGCCTTTCTTCATGTGCGCCGTATTGTAAATGTGTGTGTCGTGCCTGCGTTCTGGAAGAGCAGTTAAACAGTTCAAAGAAAATGTAAACTATCCGGACGTTTTCCAGAAGGTTCTAGAAAGTAAACAAAAGAGTATTTAAAGGAAGAGACGATCGCCGGTAAGAGGAGAAATAAATTGACCGTTGCAGAAGTGAATCGAGATATAAATGGACAGTGATAGCAGTGAAATAAATAGCGCAGTGAATAGTGATATATCAACGGTAGTATAACTAAATAGAATAATTCATAACCTAAGTAGTAATAATTTAATAGTGTTTTTAACTTCTTTAATAATTAGTGTAAATAAATAGTTTTGTCTTTATCAGTCTTAAAAGTTAATTTTGTTAAACCCGGGAACATTACAATAGTATGAAATACCTGTGGTATTACTCCAGATGCCAAAACATTTCTCTGAAATATATCAGCATAACCAGCCAAGGAATCAACTCCTTCTTGTATTCTTGCCCCTCCAGAATCGTTCAATCCAACAACAGGCGCTCCAACCAACATTGCTTGATCCATTACCTTACATATTTTTTTAGCGTGGGTGGTTGATAAACTCCCACCAAACACTGTAAAATCTTGACTAAAAATGTATACCAGTCGTCCATTGACTAAGCCATGGCCCGTTACTACCGAATCGGAAGGAAACTGTAATAAAAACGTAAGGTAATCTATATCAACAATGGTATTGTAGTAGTAAATAATAAAAACTTTTGTATACTTATTGATTGTAAGTTTATTGCATGAATGATTTTGATAACAATTATTTTAACCGTTCTTATTTCAAGTTGTTTTTACCCATCGATAGTTTCTGTAGAGGCTGGTTGATATGACCTATTCAGAGTTATGATAAATATTTATTGTTATCCCCTAGTGGTTCTCTTGGAAAAAAGAAAACGTCATGTGGGTCTGTTGTCTCCTTAAGCCAGAGGTCTTTATTCTTACTGGAATTGTTATTTTGATCTCTTCGGTAGTTTGTAAAATATTATCTATTGATATATTTGAAATTGTTTGCTACCGTTAATCTGATGTTAGCAAATGCAAGGTAACTAATTTTTCAGAGAAACATTGAATTGATAAGGACCATAGGGGAAAATAAGTTTCCAAGAGAACCAAGACAGGGTACGGATTCCAAGTTGCTGTATATCTGAGTGCAGTTAGGTTTTTATTATATATGCTTCTGAAGAAGCGTTTTAAAATAATGGGTTCGGCTATAGATAATTCCTTAAAGAGCGGGTACCAAGATTGTAAACTTTATCGATTATAAGAAAGGATGGGAAGGCATAGAAAAACATATTTTTTTCAGTTTAGAGTAAATGCGTCAATAAAAGTAGAATCAGGATCTGGTCTCCATGAAACATATTTTTCGTATTTTGCATTTAATTTTGAAGCAAATAAATCAATATCTGGAGGGCCAAAAGTGTTTCTTATAATTTTTGCAAAGGCCCCGTTGTTTAATTCGTATTCCGTATTAATATTTTAATGTAATATTAATTTCTAGATAGTAGGTCTGTATCTATGTTACCATTGGCGTAGGCCTGTAAATTTGAACTGTTAGAATTTTTGGAAAATTTCTGACCTTTCCTTGGGACTGCTGTGAAAAGTCAGCCAAGTACAGAAACCTATGGGTATAATAGTCGTAAGACTGTTTTCTATTGAATGTTAACGAATTTAGTAATAGTACTGCGGAGATAATTTTTAATTTTATGAAGTACCGAAGATAATGTCTTCGCCGTGTAGTTAGGCACAGGCAGCAGACATAGTCAGCAATATTCATAATGCAATATTGATATGCGGATGTACCTATGTCTTCGAGATGCTTTTCGTTAATGTAAAAAAACTCTATTGGAGGGTTTTGCTAGGAGCCACATCTATAGTCTTTAGATGTTGCCGAAAATGTACACACTCATTTTATAAATTAGCCGCACCAGCAGGTATGTTTACTACTTTTGCATAATTATTGAGACCAATCTGGACTTTACTACCTCATAGATGAATATGATGAAGTATAGTTTGTATACATCATTACCTTTTTATACTAAGTTAAAAATCTTATCCACGACATAGGAATGTAAATAAAATTATTCTCATAAGTAAAAGTGTAAATACAAGTTAAATCCATCCAAATTTGAACAATTGAGTACCGTTGTCGAGGCCCACTGTGCATGGTGCTTCACACATTTTAATCAGAAAAACCTTTTCCACCATACTTTAACCTAAACCAATAATGCACAACACTTCGCACAAGTCAACCAGTGTCTTTTCTAACCATAACCTAAGTTTACAGAAAGTACCATTTAACGCAAACTAATCAAAAAATCCTCTCTCACTATAACGTAATCAAAACAAATTGTGCCTGGTCATCACCCATGTAAATCAGGGTATCCCCCCCATAGCTTGCTAAAGTTTATGATATAAACTACGATGGACATCTGAAGTGTATGTGTGAATTGCACTTAAGTCGAAAGTGCTCCTCAAACAAAACACGGCAGCCAGAAAACTATCATCAGTCAACTTTATGGGGCGCAAGTTGGCTCACGAAAAAGTCAGCATTTCAAGACTGGACCGCGCTAACTCATTATTTATAGAAGTCTCTATAAGCTACCACAATATTAAAATGGTTATCGATACAGGGGCATCCAACACCATCGTTCGCCCTTGTATGGTAAAACTGAAAGGCTAAAACTACTCTTTAGTGCAGGACTTATATATTATGGTGCAACACTTCCCATTTTTGATGGAAAGGTCTCGTAGTCTGTTAACCTGAAGCAGTTTGGAGCAGCGGCAGAATCATATTGCTGGACTGATTCAGAGAAAGCAACAGCACCAATAATTTCCTTACGAGGGGAGGCGCTGGATATACTCCCACGAAAGCCTGAGTGCTAACAGTATAACTTTCAACATCTTATCAATCGCCTAGAAATGAGGTACGACGATAAACATCTCCAGCAGGTACATCTGAAAATTGAAAACCCGTAACCAAAGAAGTGACAAGACTCTTCAACAGTTTGAGTCGGATTCGTAAGATTAGCCTGCCCCTCACTAGTTCATAGACCAACTGACAGTGCAATCATTTATTGACGGAGTCAGGGACGCCGAGCTACAGCAAGCCTTAATTTTAGCACGCCACAAGGCTACACGTGAAGTACTGTCATACGCCCTGGAGTTTGAAGCGGTGAAACAAGCTTCCAAAGGCCATGCACGGGTGCGACAAGCAGAAATTGACGATAGGAGAAGAAAGTCACTGCTAGAAACACAGAAGAATGGAACTCAAAATGTGCAATATGGAAGAACTGGTCATTTTGCTCGAGACTGCATGAACTACGATGGACATCTGAAGTGTTGGAATTGCACATAAATCGAGAGTGCCCCTCAAACAAAATATGGCAGCCAGGAAATTATCATCAGTCAACTTTATGGGGCGCAAGTTGGCTTACGAAGGTGTCATTATTTCAAGACTGGACCGCGCCAACTCATTATTTATAGAAGACTCTATAAGCCACCACAATATTGAAATGGTTATCGATACAGGGGCATCCAATCGTTTGTCCTTGTATGGTATCGGAATGGCAAATTCGACCTTTGGCCAAAGACTGATTTTAGCTACAACTACCAGGAAGACTTCACCAATTCATGCAGAATGCAATGTCGACATTAGAATTGGAAATGCGATCCTATACATTTGGGTATTGGTGGCCTACATAGTATATGATGTCATTAGTGGATTGGACCTTCTTCAAGAAAATGGAATCGACTTAAATCTAAACACTACAATGCACATCGGTGAAGAAGAGATAGTTATGTTAAATCCTAAGACGAGGCTTGCTGCCTGCAAGGTGATCGTAGAGGAGGATCAAGTCTACAGAGTAACTCCGAGAGCATTGTGAAATAGACGACAACATCGGTGGATTGGTAGGGGTAGTTGAACCAGATAATCAAGACTTGACACAGAAAGCATTATTGGTGGGACGTATGCTCGTAAAAAGTGGATCATCATCAATACCGGTTAGAATAGCCAATTTGATAGACTTAGAACAAAAGATCTGCAAAGGAAATAGTTGGGTGTCAATTTTCAAGAAATTGTCAGCTACAAGATTGAAGCTAAGTCCCAAGAAATGCTTTGAGAGCTACTGGCTGTGGTTAAAACCGTCGAACATTTCCACAAATACCTGTATGGACCGAAATTCCTCTTAAGAACGGATTACGCCGCCTTAAAGTGACTACAAGAATTTAAGAACCCAGAAGGACAAATTGCGTGATGGTTACAACCACTTACAGTGGTACTTCCGAAGAAAAGAATTTCAGACATCTTTCAGACGTAAGCTAAAAATATATAGAAAGTTTAGTTGAAAAATATCAAATTAATGATTCAAAAACTTATAAGAAACCAATGGAGGTCAACCTAAAATTGGAACCTGCAGAAAATGTTAAAAAGGATCTAAAATATCGCAATTAATTGGAGCTTTATTATATATAGCAAATTGAACTAGAATGGATTTATCTTTTGCAGTAAACTACTTGAGTCATTACAATAAAATAATTAAATAATAGTCACTATAAATTTGCTTTACACGTTTTAAAATATTTATATTCAACTCATATTATAGAAAATTTGGAATACCAATAAGAGTCCAGTACTTTGTAAAATTCCAAAACAAAAGATATTATGCTCTCGCTGACTGCGTAGAGGAAATTGTACCGATTAAAAGGATTTTAATAAAATTGGGTGTTATGAGTAATTCCTCAGGAACAATTTATTAAGACAACACAGGAGCTATCACACTTGCCGAAAACAGAAAATTTTCAAAGAATTCAAAACATAGATGTAAGTTTCCATTTTGTTCCTGATAAGAGTCCAGTACTTTGTAAAATTCCAAAACAAAAGNTACTTCAACTTTTTGCCAACGTGACACCAATTTTTGTATGTCAGTATTGTAGAACTCCATGGATTTTAAATTAAAAAATTTTTGTTCCGCATTTATTTCATCATCCCGAATATTGAACTGCCTATGCACTGTGTGGTTGTCAAAAAAGGTGGTAATCACTTGGCAGAAAAATTTAAAACCAGGTTCACAAACTTCTGCCCGGTGGGAATATCTTTCGATTGATTAACAAAAAGGTTATTTTTAAATGAGCGTTTATTTTACTCGTTGAAGCTGTTAGCTGATGATAACAGTGATGCTTTGACTCGTTTTCAAAAACTCATAATAGACAATTCCGATTGTTGTTAATCAGACAAATAATATAATCTTGTTTTGATGCAAGGAAGCTCTGGGAGTGTGTGAAACCAAATGACACTTCCTTCAGCTTTCGAATGGTCTACCATAAGTGTTTTCCGAGCCAAAATGCATATCTCGCATACCAAGTGTTACTTGTGGACCCAATTCTGTTAGGTTTAATGGGGGTCACAAGGTATGGCTATATCAAGGCAAAAGGGACGCTGCCCGAAACTACAACAAGTTTGGGATCGTTAATATAATCGGGACGATCAGTCGTAGAGGGCGAGATGTTTAACTGGCGCTGCGAACAGGATACAAAGTAGCTCTTTCAGCATCAAATTGGGTAACCACCATTGTTCACCAAAACCGTTAACTGCATTTTTCGAGGTATCAATCTCTAATCTAATCTGGTCATACAATTTAAGACAC